CAAAAGACGAGTAGATATAAACAGGAATGGATGGCTGAAATGTAAGACGGATTGTAAACTCATAACCATTGCTTTTTGGATACATGCCTGTATGTCTGCTTCTCAACTCGATGGGCCACTTAGAGAGCTCGATTGATGTCCTCGTAACTGAAGCGTCAGGTCACCGTGCATTAGCTGGCTTGTCGACCTCGTGAGTTGACCTGGGTTGAGTAATTGTATGCTTAGAGAACAGTAGCTCATAGAGCGGCTTGGATACTTGAAGTTCCGAGAGGAGCTGTGAAGCTGACGGTGTGGTGTATAAACTACCCCTTCCCGGTGCCATCTAGTACTATGCCACTATCGTTTCGTCGTCGTAAAGCTTCACTGATAACAGACTCACTGGCGAGGTCTAGATCTCATGTACATAGATTACCAGGAGTTCAAAAGCGCCTCTGTTGCCTTGGTATAGTCTAGTCCAACCTGGCGCTTGACGCCTCCCCGTGTGCAAGGGGCTTTTAAACGTTTCTCCTTCGCCTGGATATTTCTATGCAAACTTTGCGGACGCTAGTTTCATGTTTATTGGAAATAGAAACAGGGTCGTCGCGTGCCTCTTGGATCTAGCAACTGAACTATCGATCTGGGCGTTTGGCTTTCGCGAACCTCTTTTTCTCCACATTGATGAGATGAGTGAGAGTAAAGTGGGCAAATTTGTCCCTACTTAAAGATTTGCAAAAGGGTAGATTAGTTTTGGCTGCTTCTTCGTTTCAGCGTGTGTCCAGGCTGTGTAGAATGCGAAGCGGCGATGCTTTGGCTGGCTTGCCTGAATGAGTCGTTTCACGAGCGTTTGTATAATACGTCGACTAGGTATGGTTGGCTAGATGAGAGGATGACTCAGTGATTCGGCAAAGAAAGGGAAACCGAAAGGCCTGAATATTACAAAGCACAGAAACGGTATTATGAATCGGATCGTGAGTCGAACAACTCAATTGGGTCCACCCCTAGGTTTCGCGAGACGGTCATCCACCTGGACTGTTCCATTCGGGTCCAAATATGCAAGGGAGTCTCTCCATGGCGCCTGGAATCTATTCTTGTCCAAGTTGGAGGACTAATTGTAGAAAATGGACAGTGCTTGTCCCCTATTTCAGATTTTCTTTCATAGCTTGCGGCGAGTTTTGGTGCTCTTAGGTTAAGGACACAGCACCCAGCTCTCGGCCAGCGGGATAACAGCTTCAACAAGAAAGGTAGAGCTAGAATCCGGGATTGGACCTAACCGACAAGATATGCTTGCCGCAAGTCTTGTCACTAACATCGAGACTACTAAGCTCTTGGGACTGGTGGCTGGGAGATCGAAAAGTCAAGATCGTGAGACGCCTTTCCGTTGACCCGGGCCTCAATTACGGAATGTGTCCAGCGACGGACGGTAAAGCTTATACCATGAGAACTCAAAGTGACCAGGATCTGCACTGCCTTGTCTCGAAGAGTGTCATATGAGGGGGTTCATCAAGCCAAGACCCACGAACCGAGACGTCGGGTTCGATGATGTGACGGTCTGACCAACAATCACAGTTGGCGATGAAAGTATCGCGAAACTGCCTTCGCAAGGAATAGGAGCACCTTGAAGCTTCAGCTTCAGAGCATGCCCAACCGGCGCATGGGATTCCTTCCCGAAGCCCACTTGTCTGGTCGCTGAGCAGGGTTGCTGTGCCTCCTGGGGGTCGCCTCCGGATTACGATTCTATGTGGTAAGTGATTCCTTTTACTCGTTGATCCTACACTCTTGGCTGTGCTGCCTGCTCTCGTAATTAAATTGTCGCGTTTGTCAATGTGGTTTCTTGGCTTGCAAGAACCTGTGCGCCTCGTTTCTTCACCACTGCTAGGTCTCACTTGATAAGAGCCTCGGTATCTGTATGCGGATTCGGGGCGAGCGGTTGCACCAGCTCTTGGGAGCTGGAAGCTGGGAGCAGGGGAGAAGGGTGAGACGAGCGCAGCGGCGGCCAGGTATGGATACAAACTCTCACCTAGCTCCACGAGACGCCAGATGTGGGGAAGACAGGGCCAGGTCGACAAGACACACGTGGAGAACCGATTGGCTCGGTGTGAGACAAGAGGCCCCTGTCAGAGTGAGCGAGAAGAGAAGACAGACCGAGAGCTCGGAGGCGCTGAGGGGAGAATGTGAAGAAGCCGATGTCCAAAGAGGTAGGTTGCTGAGGCTGGCTAGAATGCATTCCGTCGGTAAAGGTGATGGAGGGCAACTGATTGGCTGGCTCATTTGATGGCTTCAAGCTAAATGCGTCTTTGCTTTGATGATTGTTGATAAGACCTTGTCGTCCTCGTGTCAACGGCTCCGGGCGGCAAGCGTCGCAGATTGACAAGATTACCAAACAAATTCAGGCACGGGGCCCGGCAATGCCTGCAAACTTAGATGGAGACCCGTAATACAGAGTGAGTGCAACTTTGGAACATCAGGCGAGCCGCATGTCATTTTGACCCCTTGATCCATGCTGTGGCAAACTGAGAAGACGGCTAGAAGCATTGTCGAAGACGGAAAAGTGGAGAAGCACGGCGGCGAGTGTTTGAAGTCTTTTTTCTCTTCTCGTGATGAGTGAATGATTTTGCCCCCCGCCAAAGAGAAGGATGGCAACCGTTTCACCTGTGTCCATAGCGGATGGGACATGGTGACGGCTCCCGGCGCCGCCTGTGAAGCGTGCGCTCGACTTGGTTTCAATGCGACAAGGCGTGCACGACCCAGTGACTGGGAGCACAGCAGACAGCTAGGATGGAGCTTGCTGGCCGAGGATCGGACAGTCATAACAATAGCAGCGGATCCGTCATTCATCATCATTTGCTTTCTCAGTGATGATGCCATGGGGCGGCCATTGCACGGTCAGTGGGTGTTACGTACAAGCAAATGCCCACTGACTTAGTCGTCGGTGCTTTTTTCCAGAAGCATGGTGTTGAGGGTGTTGAAAGACACATGCTGACACGGCCATGTGTGTGATGTCGTGTGAGGGGAGCGGCAGTAAAAGTATCGTCCTGTTGTCGAATGGCGAGCAGAAGCCATCGCCGATCATTGAAACCACATCGTCATTGACGACACGCAAGCCGGAGATGCATCGATTTTGGTAGATGGTGGTAATAACTGTTGTCTTAAGCGTCGATCAAGTGCATCGGCCAGAGAGGCCGGTTAAATTCCCCGTCGGCGAGATCTGCGAAAGCGACCGCAGCGAGATGATGCATGGAGCCTGGAAGGGACATTGATGCGGCATTACGGAGTGTCGTGGATCCATCCATGGATAGAATGAGTCTATCGCTTCTGGAAGCCTTGACAGAAGGAAACCTGACTGAGGCCTGAGGCAGCAAGTCTGATGGATTCATTCTGGAAAAAACAAGGGGGAAGAGGGGCAAGGTTGTCAGACAGGGCGAGCGAGGGGCCTGTCCTGTTGATCAACTCTGATTTTCAACCGCCAGACAACGAACGAAATTCCATCAAGTTGAAGCGAACCAACTGCCAGACGCCTCCAAATGATCAAAAGAAGGCTCAAACAGCCTCATCGCCCCAACCGCTCTCGCTCATTGGAAAATCAACTCCCTGGAAAACGCTCGCCGAGAGACACACAGAGCGACCCTTGAAGTGGGGGGCAGCCCTTCCAGAGTAAGAGGCGGACACTTTCTCCACCAGGGCGAGTTCAGTCACTGGGCTCCGTAGGCTTCCCATTGGCTCCTCAAGCTTCTAGCGGTCTTTTAGTCGACGACCGGGGTGTGGAGCCGTTCAAGGGTTTGCAGGACAGGGCGGGGCCTCTGGAACGGGCTTCTCGGACAGGGAGCCTTCCTCTACGAGCCTAGCCGTGGTTGAATCCCTGGATCCCTTTGGATGAGATGCTTCGAGCTGGTCATTTTCAGACGGGGTTCCAGCCTATGCTCGATGGAGGAGGTGCTTAACAGAACCGCCTGGGTGCCCGGGAGCACGGTGAGCTTGTCTTGTCGGGCCTTTACCTAGGGAGTGACAGAACCTCTGCAGCCATTCGCTCCTGCCCTCCCAGTCCAGGTGCGTGCTGTGGACGTCCCCTCCAGTGGGCTCTCAGCGCAATCTCAGTGGTTCGGGGGATGTCTTAGTGGGTGTGCAGTGGACTTTCCATCTTGCTTCTTCCTCGGCTTCCAGTGGCTTGGCCAGAGATTCCATTGCGGAAGGCGTGCGTGGAAGCGTCCCCACTTGGCTTGGACCTTCTCAAAACCACCACCATGCCATCCCCCATCCGTGGAAGGTACCTGGGCAGGCACGCTATATCCCCCGGCCGCATCCCATCTGTCAGGTATCCCGCCCAAACTTGCCCATCTCGACTCAGCCATTTGCATTGCATCCGCTGTCGCTCTGTTTCCTGGGAAAAGACGATACATCTTGTTCCTCTTTGCTTCTCCATTCCACTTTAATTTACAGAGGAGCCGGGTGTTTTCCCTCTTGGTAATACCTTCCGTTCATCGCATCCACCCACGCTTCGCGACAGACGATCCGCGCCCTCCTACGATCTCGGCCGACCCAACATCGCAATCCACCTCGGCGCCGCATCCGAAGAGTCACGGCACTCTCCTCCGTCCTCGATAACTCGTCACTGGTCTCGTTTTAGGATATCGCTTGGGAAGGGACAATAGCATTGTGTGTGTTGGAACATCGTTCAGTAACGGCCTCCTCGGCGCTCTCCCGGACCCTGCCGAGTGTTGCGGACCGATTCTGGAGCTTGACTCAGTAGCCTCTAGCCAGACCTAGGCTCTGAGAGAAAGAGGAGGATATTTCGGAGCCGGGGCATTCTCAGCAACGGTTGACTTGGTTATTGAAGACATCACATCCTCAGGAGAATCCAGCCTTGGTGTCGATGCTGCCTCCCGAAGGCATCTAACCCACCCAAACGACAAAGTGGAGGGGATCAATATCACCAAACACACATCGACGCATTTTCATCCCGATCAACTCATGTCTTCGATTACGGATATCATCGCTCCCGATATCTACTCGCCATAAATTTCAAAATGCCCGACTACGACGACGATATGCTCCCTCCACCTGCGACTCCTTCACAGGACCGTACCTACGGCGGCAACAACGCATTTCACAACTTCTTTAACGACTTTTCTCACATCTCTGACCCTAACCTACGCCGAAGACTTGCCTTGTCTGAGATTGACAAGGTCCCTTTTGGCGCATACCGTATGTGACATTTTCGGAGTTTCCTATTTCGGGCCGAGTTGCTGTACGCCGAGTACTGACCAAACTTGCGATACAGATGTTCGCGCAGTATTAGTGGCAGGCGTTGGATTTTTCCTCGACTCCTACGACATATTTGCCATCAACCTTGTAACTGCTCTGCTTGGTGTTGTCTTCTGGGGTGACCCAAACCCCCAGAACGGCTTCAGCGGTAACAATGGATACCTCCCCGACCCGGTGAACCAGGCCTTCAAAGCTTCTACCAGTGCAGGAATCGTCATCGGTATGGTTGTGTTTGGCTGGTTGGCAGAGTATGTAACCCCATGCGTTCAACAGCTCACTTTGGCTTCGTTAGCAGGACCAGTTATGCTGACAACTCAACTAGTGGCTTTGGAAGACGTCGCATGTACGGTGTCGAACTGGGGATCATCATCCTAGCGACGCTTTGCTGCTGTCTCATCTCCTCAAGCCCAGCGATGGGTTCAACTGGCTTGCTCATCTTCTGGCGGATCATCATGGTAAGCCCTCAAGGTCTGCACCTCTGTCGTCTGTACTGACTAAGGTTAGGGCATTGGTATCGGTGGCGATTATCCACTATCCAGTGTAATTACGTCGGAGTAAGTTATTGTGCACTGATCTAAACTTTGTGGCTGCCCTAGTCGCCCACGCGATGTCAACGAAGTTGAGTCAAGCTGACTATCAACCCGCTAGATTTTCGCCGACGAGGTGGCGCGGCGCCATGGTGGCTGCCGTCTTTTCCATGCAGGGTCTTGGACAGCTTGTTGCAGCCATCGTAGCCCTTATCACGACCGTCGCTTTCAAGGAATCGTTCATCGGCGCTGCTAACGAGAGCAAATGCGGATACGAATGCCGCCTGGCTGCCGACCGAGCATGGCGAATCATCATTGGAGTGGGCGCAGTACCGGCCTGCATTGCTCTCTATTACCGTATCACCATCCCCGAAACGCCTCGATATACCTTTGATATCGAACACGATGTGGAGAAGGCTGATGCCGATATCAAGGCATATGTGGCGAGTAAATCCAAGGGCTCATTCGATGTGGTACACCAGGTCAGGACGAAACGCATTGCTGGGCGCAATCTCAACGTGCCACGTGCTTCTTGGTCTGACCTTGTCGCCTTTTTCCGTATATGGGCTAATTTCAAGATGCTTCTGGGCACTACATTGTCCTGGTTCTTCTTGGTATGTCTTCTCGTCTACTTGATCGTTGACTCGACTAACATCTACCCAAGGATCTCGCATTCTATGGCCTTGGCCTCAACAACACCGTGGTTCTCCAGGCAATTGGATATGGCACAGGTGATACGCTTTACGAAAAACTTCACAACCAGGCAGTGGGAATGATCATCTTGACTTGTGCAGGCTCTCTACCTGGCTATTGGACTGCCATCTTTACTATCGACACCTTCGGTCGCAAGCCACTCCAGGTGATTGGCTTCTTTCTCCTTACAATCCTTTTCTGCATTCTCGGGTTCGCATACAAAAGCTTGACGCGGGGAGCCTTGCTTGCCCTGTACATCATTGGCCAGTTTTTGTTCAACGCCGGCCCAAACACGACTACGTTTATTGTCCCAGGAGAATGCTTTCCTACACGATATCGATCTACGGGCCACGGAATCTCGGCGGCCATGGGCAAGATTGGAGCTATCATTGCTCAGTGCATCAGCATACCCCTGGTGCGTCAGGGTTCTGCCGAGGATTGCAAGGGTGCCGAATGCTCGCCAAACCTGCACCGCCTTCTCCAGCTCTTTGCCCTGTTCATGCTGTTTGGTACTCTTGTCTCACTCCTGATCCCTGAGACCAAGGGAATGACGTTGGAGGAGCTTTCAGGTGAGCCGCGTACGAGTTACAATGCAGGCTGTAATGGCAGCATCAGCCTCGGCTCCCCAAAACTAAGGGCATGGAACCCTTTCCACGGTGGTCAACCTGCAGGATTCTCGTATCCTCGATCGCGACCAGGCCACTTCTCTAAGCATCGAAAGTCGGACCGTGTTGGAATCATGACATCACCCGAGCTAATGGCAGAGACGTCTCGACTTCGACGACCCCGTTTCTGGAGGAGACACCGCAAGGCCAAGTCAAGCAACGGAACGAACGAGATTGCACTAAGCACTCGCAGCTCAGGAACAACAGACGACGACATCTTCCCAGCAGGTGCTCCGGTGCCCGCTCCGATGAGCCCCCCGCAACCCCCACCAAGCTGGGGAGCCGGTTGGGGACGTATCGACAGAGGAGGACCGCCGCCGTTATTGAACTCGGTGCAGCTGCAGGATGTCGGCAGCCTGCTCAAAGAATAATGCTTGGCATCTACACCGGTCACGTCCGGTTGGCATTTTACTCATGGCGTTGGTTGGAAATGTTGATTTTTAGACAATGATACCTTAGATGTTTGCTTTGCATACTTGTCGAGAAGAAACGACAACCAAGGGGAGGCTTCTTGTGGAACATGGAGCCTTGCCCTTGGACGAATGAATCACGAATACGAAGAATATTCTCCTAATATTTGCATCGCAGAGACGAGTGAGGTATCATGATATAGTTGGGGTCATAAAACTTCTCATCTACAGTAAGTATCTATTACAATGCCAATGCGCCGCCTAGGTAACTAGCAAATCCATTCCCTGCCATCAGCAAACAAAGCATCTTGAATCTCCAACAAAAGGGTATTATCCCATGATCACCTCTGATCCCAGTGTAAACATCGGTTTTAGACCAGAAAGCAATACACCGTGAAATGGATCTCGTCAACATCTCTGGGTGCCAACAACTGGTTGCTGCATGATTACAGTCAGGCAAACCAGTCTCGCTCAGCCACGGAGAATCTTGAGAGCCTCCTTCAAGTTCGCAATGTCAAGAGTCAACTTCTCTCGGCGGTCGCGGCTGCACATCTCCTCGCCAGCGATGGTCTCAAGGTTCTCGGGTGTCATGTGAAGAATAAGTTCCTCAGAGAGCACGGTGAGGGGTCCGTTGGGCGAGTACAGGAGGAAGTGGTCGATGACCTGCTGGCAGATGACATCGACGAAGCGGGTCCGGGCAAAGTCGTAGAATGTGTGCAGGACATCATGGATGTTGCGGCAGGTGGATGCGAGGTCATCTGACCCTCCAAGGCCATTTTCCACCATCTCCCGGGCCTGTCGACCTGCAGTGCCCCCTCCCAAGTGGGGATGACTGATCGTTCTGTTGATCGTTGACTCGATCTTCTTGCCGAGCTCCTCGACATGGGCAAACTTGGTGCCGTGAAGCTTCTTGTTGAAGGCAGGGCTGTACGTGATGCTCTTGCCCTCGAACTCAACCTCGAGGAGGAACTCGGTGTGGTCGACGGCACGGCGGTACCGCTCCTGGAGGTCATCAACGATAAAGTTCCAAAGCTCATCGCGGATGGTGTTATCGAGGCAGCAGGCGTCGAGGACACTGCGGATGAAGTGGTGGACGATGAGGATGGCATTGGAGACGTGAGCTCGAGCCATGGGAGACCACTTCTTGGATTGCTCCTTGAAGTTGGTGGGGAGCATCTCGCCGCCAAACTATGAGACGTGTTAGTAAGAGTGGTTAGTATCACAGGTTTGGCTGAGACTTACAGTTCCGAGCTCGTAGCCACGCGATGAGCGGTACTCTTTCTCGATGAAGGCCAGAATGTCTTCTTCCGGGTCAGGGCAGCAGTAGGCTTCATGGAGGATGCTATCACCAAGTTCCTGTTCTCCCACCAGCGGAATCACAAAGGTCATGTCATCATCGTACAGATCGTCTCGAATGGTCATTTGACTCTCAACGTCGGAGTCACCCGAAGAGCTTTCTTCGTTCTCCTTCTCACCGGGCGGCTGGAAGTTTCTGGTGTGGCCCTTGTCAAACACGACGTTCGCAAAGGCTTCATTGATCTCGCGGATGCGTGTGATGAGCCTCAGCTCTTCCTGTTCGTGGAAGATCTTGTGGCGAGAGTAGTATGCGTCCAGACCGCAATTCTTGATTTGCGTAAAGCGCGAAGCGATGCGCCCCAGATAGACGCGCTGCTGTTCGGTGGAGCTGCGTGACTCTCCCATGTTCTCGAGAAGTGCCTCGTTCTTCTTGAGCATCGTCATCAGATCGCTGCGCACCTTGGGAAACTCGCTCTTGATGCGGTCCATGAGCAGGTGTTGAAGCCGAGCCTTGAGAGCTGGGATACCAAGACGGTCTGCTGGAAGCTTGCTCCAAGGTGCCTCTCTGAAAAAGTTCTCTTCCTTGAGGTTGCGCTCCTCAGCGCTCGAAGAGGTGTCGTCAGCACCTCGGTTCTTGACCACACAGTAGCCCAGAACAAGGTCACGGCGGTTCCCGTTCACAAGGTTGACGACGACGGCCTTGGTGGCTTGCTCAACGGCAAGGTCAGGCTTGGTAAGGACGCCCAGTGTTCGTTTGCCCTCCGGGTCAACCTCCTTGGCCAGGGTCAAGATCTTTTGGTTGGCAATATCGCCAGTGCAAGGGACGACTGCAAGAATGATGGTGCGAGACTCTCTGATATAGTTCCGTACCATGTCCTTGACCAGATCAATGTCTTCCTTTGTCGTGACGCCAGGGGTGACGTTCTCAAACATTCCGGGGACGTCAATGACAGTCAAATGGTCTTCGTTCGGTCCACTGATCTCAACGCGGAGGATATCGCGGCTAAAAGCAGAGCCAGTCGAATCATCCTCAGAGCCAGACTTGATGCCCATGACCTTGGCCGCCTGGTTCGGGATTTGGTTAGAGATGTCTTTTACGAGGGGTTGGACTAGAGTGTGTAACGTACATCCACAAAGATCTGAGCAAACTCCTCAGCATTGAGGTCCTTGGTCTCACGGCGAAACTTTTGGGCCTCTGTGTTGTTTGGATCCGCGGGTTGGATTGAGATGACAATGTTCTTTGTCTCCTCGCGACGACAGATGATCTCTGTGGCGTGGCGGGTGCAGAGTGTGACGGAGCGAGGGAAGTGGAAGCCGGTGAGAGACTCGAGGACACTCGACTTTCCAGCGCTCTGATCACCGACGACGACCATCTAAGAGAGTGTTAGCAATTGCGGGCTAAACGTATCGCGCGCGTGCGAAAAGAACTCACTTGAGGAAGAGCGACGAGGTTGGAGATGCCCAGCCCTCGGAGCCTGTCCATCTTGTCGAGGAGGACGCGGTTCCCGAGGCCCACGCTCGACTTGATGGGCTTTGAAAGTGCCATCTTGATGACTGGAGAAGGACTTTCTCGATGCGCAGGTCTATTTGGGTTGCTGTTCAGTAGCACTTCACGTTGTGGTGAGTCCTGGTGAGGGTGAGGAGGGCGAAGAGGAGGAGGATGAGAGGTGAAGGAAGAGAGAAGAGGAGGAGAAGGAATTTCGTGAATTTATGTTTGTGCGCTCACTTCCCTAAGACTTAGGAGAAAGCCTTTTGACAAGGCACCCTGATGGGAAGATGGGATTCTATGGAAGGTGAAGGAAGAGGTCGTTGGCCTGTTGCAGTGCCCGCCAGTGATGGCCAACAGTGAATCACAGTCTGATGCTTCACAGCCCGACGGGGCCCAGGCCAAACAAGGCTTGGTACATACGAATAGATAACCCAGCATGGGCAGGCAATCGCCTTTGCTCCTTTGCTTGCGACATGGGTTTAAAGCTGAGAGTGATAGGCAGATTTGTAGATGTGATAAAGAGCCAACGACACTGCCGCAATGCAACAAGTAATGACTATGGCCAATCACCTGCAGTAATTGAACTGGGGAGCAAGGAACACAGCGCTAAATGATCTGAACTTAAAGCATAAATGTAACCTCTGTTGGTTGATGTCAAGCTGCGCCTCGGCCGCCTGGGTTGGCCATCTGAGCCACCAACGCGAGAGGCATCCGGTTTCAGGTTACGGGGATCATAATTGAAGTGTAAAAAATGAATCGCTTAATTTTTGCTTGGGTATCTTGACGTCGCTAAAAGAAAACTCCTATCCATTCCATCCGATTACCACAGGGAGACGATTTCGCTCACAGGCATCTCACATCCAGTTGCCAGCCCTTGCTCTCTGTTATACCAGGCCTCGAGCACTTCCAACTCCACAGCACCGGGATTCTCAGTCAAGTTGGATAGAACGGGTCCAACAGACCTTGACTCGAGTGCCGGATCCAACACGCCTGGTGGAGATGCACCCCTTGATGGTGGTTGAAGGGACGTCTCCAAGGCGTGAATGAACTTTTCGGCCAGAGGGTGATGGGATGTCATGTACTGTCTGGCTGTTACGAGGCATCGTCTGACCTCGTCATTAATTGGGGTCGGGTTTGTGACAATGTCTCTAAAGAGAGGGTGCTTCGAGAGCATAGTGAGAGTCATGCCTATTATGCAAAGAGCTGAAAGAAGGTTAGCAGAGGCTTTTGGTCTTGAGGAGCTTGGGAACTTACAGATTACAGCATGGCTCTCAGGGGGCCCGTCAAAGGTAACCAGTCTCCGCTCACGGTTCATGACATCCTCCAGCTCAACGCTCGCAGCATAGCACGACTCAAAGAGTCCACTGAGCATGGATCTGGCCACCATGGATGCTGGTTGACTAGCATGGCTGCTGACAAGCTTCATGATCGCTGCTCGAGAAATAAGAGCCTTTGTTTCCAAATACCTTGAGAATGTTAGTCGAGTTTTTGCTGCAGGAATTATTCAACATACCTCATGCGAAGAAGAGTAGCTTGACGACGGAAAACAGCCTCAGTTTGCGTGCAGGGGAACTTGAGGCGAAGATGCTCGGGGAGAGCAGCTTGCCATTCCTCAAGCACACAATCGAGATTCAAGGCAGTTCCAAGGATTTCTGAAATAGACTGTTTGTTGCCTGCTTTTTGGTTGAAGTAGGCATCCTGAACTGGTTGAAGAACCGTATCGGAGAGCTTCAACACCTGAGTGAAGAAAGAAATCCTTGATGGGGCGTTGGAAGGCTGCTCTCTGCGTGGGTTGTGTGGGACAGTCTCGAGATATTCGTCGTCGATTTCTTGAGGGAAGGTCCCAAAGTTTGCTGTTTTTTGGTTTCTAGGAGAATTTTGTGTCCTAGGTTGATTGTTAGCAACTCATCTACTATGTTAGTTTGGGTTGCTCACCTGAGAAACAGAGCACAAGCACACCAAGTCCTCCTGCGCTCCTCAAGCTCAGACTGAGACTTTCCCGGAAACTCCACATGAAGCATCATGCCTTCTGCTAGCCGATGCGCCATGCCCGTCAACATCCAACTCTCCTGACCCATACCCATCCGTCGAAGGAACCGCGCGTGGATGATCAGAGCCTGCACAACTGGAAGAGACGCCACGGATAGCAAGTCGATAAGGAGGAGAGGCCTCGCTT